GTACCAATTCCCTGTTATATTACTGCTACAGTAACTTTCGTAAAATACGTATAAATTCATAAAAATCTAAGTTTTCATCTATATAAAATTACCATTTACATATATACATTTGAAACATTACAAAACTCAATCATATTATTTTACAAACCATTTAGAACATATCATATTCAAAACCATTTTTACATGCCAACCACTATAATTATTACAAAATACATACTATTAATTTCTTTTCTGATTTGATCTTTGGAAAGGAGAAACTGACCTGTCTTGCATAACTTTTATCAATCTTCATCTTCTCGGAACCTACGTGTGAAACAATCACACGCTAAGTCGATGACTTAGTGAGGCATATAAAACATAATTATATGCTAACTGTAACTTCTACAATGCATGAACATTTGATACTACCTTATCATACCAAAACATATATTCTTCTCTGTAACATATACATACATGCACATATCATGTAACATAACATCATTAACATGTTTATCATTTCTCATTTTATCATGTATTATATCATTAATTTCTTTTTATACCATATCAACATATAATATAAACTCTAAATCACACTAATGCATAAACGATTTCCAATCTCATATAACAAATACATTTCACTTAGGAATACACACAGTATCACATATAAATCTTATAAATACTTTTGGTATCTTTTATAGGCCCATGTACATTATTGAGAACTCAAGGTATTCGAGTACATTGAGGTTATGCACTATTACTGTCACCACAGCTCGTATAAGTCCCACTGAGTGGCATATGAAATTTGTCCTGAATGACCTATGTAATTGTCCATATGTTCCGAATAACATAGGTAAACTATAATTGTCCATATGTCCCGAAAGACATAGGTAAACCCTCGACTCTTGACATGCCAACTATACCACTAGCTCTCATATCATATAACATGGGCAATATCATTTATACATTTCATATCACTTGTTCTTTCTCTTCTGTCACATACCACATGTATGTGTAACCGTATATCTCATATCATATCACAAGTGCATGTATTCACGTAGTTTACTTTCATGTAATTCATGTCACTTTTCATATAATTTCATATTTGTATATCACATAGCTCGTATCACTTTGCATAGTTTTACACAAACACATATTTCCCATATAACTCATATCATTTGATTCATGTCTTATTCTTATATCATTATATATATATATATATCATTTATGTTCATTCACTTAATCTCATATCACTTATCCCATGTCAAACATAGCTCATATATAATGATGCATATAACATGTAATCATGTAGGTCATGTCACATAAGAATAACAAATCAATTAACATTTTAGGAGTCACTTCTTACCATAGTAACTCCGTCACTGGCTCATCGCAAGCCAATGTTTTTTCAATATCATAAGTACAATTAAAATTGCACTCACCTTAGCCTTGCTTTGATTCAATCCTAATTCTTTGATTATTTCGGGAACTTATTTAGGCTCTGTATCTACATAAATATAATTTTCAAAATAATTATCATAAGCCTAAACCTTAAACTTGATGTTAATACTTAAGCTAGTTTAATGAACCAAAATTCTATTTTTCCTTTAGGGGGAATCGATACCCCCTAATAAGGTATTTGTACCCTCTGCATAATCTGTAAATTTTACCCAAAAATTACTTTTTAAACCCGAAAATCATCAACTCTTCACTCAATTCATCTATTTTAAGCCCTTATCATACCATTAAACTCAACTACCATTACTTAAACCAACTTATATCCATATAAACCATATTTATCTTCCATATCTCATTATGATTCTTAAAATTAAGAATCATACCAAATTTTCCACATGTTCTAAATTCAATTTTAACACTTCATACTTCTTAATTTCACTTATGATAAGTCAAATTTAACTTCAAATTCAACTTCAAATTCAACTTATCAACTCTATTTCAAGATTTCACTCAAGAACTCCAAATCTTTAATCTTCCATAACTTCTTCATCTTTTGATTTTAAGATAAATTAAGCTTTCATTAAGCTTAATTATCATTTAAGGATCAAAACCCAACCTTTAATTGAACAAATAAACAACTAATTAAAAAACTTATCTTTGCTTGGAGCCTCACGTTGGAGAAGAGAAGAAGATGAAGAAGATAAGTCTGGAAACTTATCTCTTCAAACATGCATCACACGGGTATTATAATACCCGCTAATTTATTATTTAATTATTTTACTTGTTCAATGACCTATTTACCCTTTAACTCTTTCAATAATTACCAATAACCCTTCAAATATTATTTTTAAATAAGTCATTGAACTATTTAAATTTTCCACTTTAATCACCAAATTCTAAAATTTTACAATTTAGTCACTAACTCGTAGTTTGGGATGTTACAGAAAATGACTAAAATAAAGGAAAATAAAATGAAATGAGTAGAAAAGTAAATAAAAAGGTAAAAGAAATAAATAAATGAGATAAATAAAATAAAAAGAAGAAATAATAAATAAAATAAATAAAATGAAAAGCATAATAATAATAAAATGAATAAGTAAATAGAAACAAAAATAAATGAAATAAAATAAATAAGGGAATTGAATAACGTAAAGGAGATAAAAAAATGGTAAATATATATATAATATTATGTAGTAAAAATGAGTAATAAATACATAGGAAAAAAATGAAATGAAAACACATAATAAATAAATAAATAAATAAGTGACAAGATAAATAGGAACATATATATTAATTATAGAGGACCAAATTGAAATAAAATCCAATTTAGAGGGTCAAATGTGAAGCTAATCAAAGAAAAAGTGATGATTTAAGGTGATAATGTGAGCTTTGAAAAATCAGAGGGACTGAATGAGGATTTACCCATTTTGGGTTAAAAACGCGCGGGTCAGGGGCTTGGGGTCAGGTCAACATGCGGCTCCAACGGGTCTTAGTATAAAACTTTTAAAAAATTATTTATTCATTCTTCTTATGTTTCAAACAGAGGCCCCCTTTGGTTTTAAATTCTCTCGTATGTTCAACCGTGTTCTTCGTTTGATGAACACGACCACCCCAAAACCCAGATAACAGCCATACGCCGTCTCGCAGGCTGCCGTTCATCGACGGCGATATATATATATATATATATATATATATATATTCAAAATCTTTCATTCTTTTCAAAAAGATCAAAACATTTTTTTGAAAACGAACCTCAAGGGTGAGTAGATCTAAAAAGAAAACTCGTTTTCCCCCTATGCTAGGTTCAAAAATATTTTCGGCTTTTGCGAGTAAAATAAAAACCACGAACGATGCATGCAAGGAAAAAATATAACAGGTAAAAGTCTTCACCTTTTATTTGCTTCGAATATCGTTACAAAAATTTCGAATTTGTTATGTATCTCTCTCGATCCTTTGTAGTGTATCTCGTATTTTTGCTAGTGGATACTCGTGTAAAACATTGTGTGTGCTCTCGTGAATTTCCCTATGATATTGTGTGTAATCGTGTAAACTCTCTGTGATATCTCCCCCTATCTTGTTTGATTACGAGTTTATTTATACACAAAAAAATAACATCTTTGAGTCCTAATCAAACTATACTACTCTTGTTTGTTGGTGATGCTTCTTGTGCTGGACGTTTCAGGGTGTTGGAGTGTGTGGCCGTGAAGACCGGAGGCACGGGTGAGGAAGAGTCTTCACAGGAAATGGCGTTGGAGGCTTGTTTGCTAGGGTTCCTGAAAGCCCTGATCTGGTTTGGTTTGTTGGGCGTGTGGTGTTGTTGGACCGTGGTTTGGGCCAACAAATTGGTCTTGTAATTTGGTTTTGGACCTGACATGAAAACAAATGTAAATGCGTTAGTGTAATAAAATAAGAATAATACTTATATGATGTATATATATATATATAACATATAAATCTATTCCGGTCAGAAAAAGTGCTCGACATGTCCCAAATTAGAAAAAGAAGAAGAAAAAAACACAATCGCATTAATATAAAGGCCACATTGGACGATGTAAAGGTGTTTAATGTGTTTGAACGAGATCGTTCACTTGATTTTTTTATTATATAAATTTATTTTACGGTAAACTATATATTTAGTATTTAAAGTATCGTTTTTATTTTGTTTTAATACCTAAATTTTTAATTTTTTCAAAATCATACTAACACTTACTTTTTGTTTTGTTTTAATACATGCTGTTAAAAATTTAGGTATTAAAACGAAATAAAAAGTTAATAATAAGATAGTAAAATGAAACAAAAGGTAAATTTCGGGTTCTAAAATGAAAAAAAGTAAACGTTAGATATGATTTAAAAAATAAAAGTTTAAATACTAAAATGGAACAAAAATAATAGTTTAAGTACTAAACATGTATTTCACCCTTTATTTTGTGATCAAGAATTATCTCTCTCAGGATTTGAATTAAGTCGTCAAGAATCACTTCAAAGGTGACATCCAAAAAAAGACAAACCTTGCCTAAAATGGCCCACGTTATCCGTTGCTTAACACGTGCCACTTATCACATCGTTGTTCGGATTCGGAGCTTTGAGCCATATCTAGCCGAGTATCATTATCAATTCAAATAATCACAAAGCTTTATAATTTTGGCATTTAGCTATTTACTTGCCCATTATTATATTATTATAATTATACGATTAATATTTAAACTATTAATTAAATTTAATATTTTATTTTTTAAAATTATATCTAAAATTTAATTTTTATTTTATATTAATATCAATTTAAAATTTAACATTAAAATAAAATAAAATCTAAACATTAAAATAAATTAAAATTAATAATTTAAGTATTAAATGTATGAAAATTTTAATACAACCGAAAAATTAAAATAAAACAACTAAAAATTAAATATGATTTAAAAAAAATAAAAATAAAAATACTAAACAATAAATGTTTATCCAAAATTAATTATAGACATGTTAGAAGAGCATATTGTTTTGTACAACGGAAGGAAAGAACCGTAAATGGAGACGACAACGGAAGGGAAGGAAAGAGGGGGGGGGGGGAAAGTACAATAGATAAAGCCAGTTTGGTCAGATACAGCCAGTTTGCTCCACCAGCTCACTTCCAAAACCACCCCAGCCACATTGTTTCCAGTTGATCAGATCTTCCAGCTCAAGATAAATCTTTGAATCATTTACCGATGAAAGCTCTTCGCTTGTTTCATTCAGAGCACCCGAGCTTTCCCCTAGTAAGTTTTCCGACACAACATCATAAGCAGAAGAACACATTTCTGGTGAACCGTTCTTTTGGTTGTGAACAGAACCATGCAAGCCATCCCGTTTATCCAGTTGTTCGTTGTTCTCCATATAATCCGAGTGCAGAAGCTTTGAGAACTCATCAGATTGCATTGATTTCAATCCCTCTTGACCATCCGAGCTCTTTGTGACTTGTGGCTCAAGCAATCTCTTCTTGCTAAAGCTAAACTCTCCTTCATCAAGCAGCTCTTTCTTTTGCTGATTCCTGCTCTGGGTCAATCGCTGAATAAAAGTGGGGTATTTAACTATTTTAGCGAAGAAATTGCACATTTGCTGTTGCCTGCACTCGGCGAAGCGAATCCGGTCATGAACAGCACTCAGCTGACGATTTGATTCTTCCTCCTGTTGCCTCAGTTTCATAACCTCCAACTGCAATAAACTCCGATCTTTCTTCAATATTTCGAGCTCAGCTTCTAACCCAATGTTATTTGTTGAACTGTTAGCACAGAAAACTCCTTGTCGTTGCCTGTTATATCTACTTCTCCTCTTAATGTTTCTCAGTAAATGCTTATTTCCTCCTTGAAACCCTTCATTTGCAAATTCCCATCTATCTGAATCGATCTTTCTAAACCCCTAAAACAACCCAGAAAAAATAAGCAAAACGTTAGGAGAAAAATACAGATGAATTTTGATAGGAAAAAAGGGGTATTTATGATGCTTACATAAGTGCTTAGTTGGCGGATGAAGCTGGAAAAGTTCTTGTGCTTGAAGTATTTGGGAAGGAGATGTTCTGAGAACTTATGAGAATCCCAAACGATGAAGCTGTGGCGGTTACTGCCCCAGGAAACGATCGGGTCGGTTTCCGGATCCTCGACCAAGTCATATGTTTTTCTCAGAAACGGCGGCGGACCCAACTCGTTTAATCCTGATCCCATTGATTTTGGCAAATGATCATATGAACTGGAAGAAGACGAACCATTATTAGTGACGAAGTTGATCAAATCCCCACCGTTCATTATATTGTCCACGGCTCCCGTTTTTCCATCCTCATCCTCTTTAACTGACTTCAACAGAGCGTCCTGATAATCTTCTCCGTTACTTTCAGCTCCCGGCTCTTCCTCTTTAACTGTTTCGTCTCCCATTTTCTTCAAAAACGCCGTCGTGTAACTCAAACTAAACCCTTCTCCGCCTCCATTGTCGAGCGCCACCATGTTCACTCTTCTTTTTTTTTGAAGAATTTTGACTAGTTTTTTTAGATGTTTTTAAGTTGGGTACGGCAGCAAAAATTATGAAATTAATAGGAGAGAAACATGCAGGTTAAAATGACGACATTGCTGTCAGTTGTCTTAACTCTAAACTCCATAGCGCAAGGATATGCCGACACGTTGCGTTTACTTTGCTCGCTTTTTCGCCATTTGTAGAATTCCTTTTTCATTCAACATTTGATCCAATAATATCATGCCACGTGGAAGACTAAGAAAGGGAAACGGTGAGCTCCTTGTTATTTTCTTTTTGTGATGAAAACTCATTCGCCGTGCAATGGCGTCTCCTGGCCGTTAGATGGACACGATCATGCGGTCGCTATACGACAAGCATGCATTCAGTCCTTCCTCCGCATGGACGCCACGTTTAGCTGTATTAATATCTTCATCGAGAGAAAAAAGGGGACCGAATCGTGTAATCGTCACTGACGAGTGGAATATAAAATTCTACCGATAATGTGATGCCACGTCATCAAGTGGTGGATGTTGAAGAGGCAAAAGTGGTAGCTGAACAAGTGGCACCGATGACCGAGTGCCAGATTAGATAGCTGGGATTATTGGTAGGGTCCTCTTTAGCTTAATAAACTGGGAAGATCGTGGCTTAATATGCTCCTCTTATTTTTCATCTAGTAGGATAATGCAAAGGTCACGAAAACCTGCACACCTCTTGCTTTAGTCCGACAAACAAATCAAACAAAAAGCGAATTCTCACGTAAAACAAATGCTATGGAGATTTAAAAATGATAACAAATAAGAGACCTCCCAGTACAAATCACACTTTTTATATTCTTGATGCTGGAACCGAGATGTTGGTGCCTAATGCAACTGAAATGAATGTCCATGACGGATAATCACTTGAGAAATATCCATCACCCACCATAACCCCCAAATTCAACCCATTTTCAAATGCTTCTGCCTTATTGACCATTGTAAAATGGGGTAATCACTGCCGCTTTATTTTGTTGCCACCACTAGACAAAATGTCCAAAAGCATCGAAGATTTTGCCTCGTCAGTTTTTGATCCTTCACCGGTTTTGTTATCCCCTGTTTCTCTACGAACTGATGCTCTAATCGCAGAATGATTTTTCTTCATTCCAGACTCGAACATTGTTGCAAATGCTAATGTAGACATCAGTGCTTTCTGAGACGAATTTGGTGTGACTTTAGGTGTTATATTTCTCTGGAGATTGACCTGCAGTGAGCAGGGAAGCTGGCATCTTCCACGGGTTTGCATTGGAGTTGTATTGTTTGTTAGACGACGGTTGACTTGCGCCAACAGATTTACCCTTGACATTATCAATCTTTTTCGCCATTGCCAGAGTAGAAATAAGTGCTTCCCGAGCAGAATTTGGTCTGCTTTTATGTGATAAACACACTGCGGATTGGCCTGAAGTTTGTAGAGAAACCGACTCCGATACTAAATGTTAAATTCAAATAATCTTGAATGCGGAAGCAATTAATACATAAGAATTTTGACAGAGTGATTAAATCAATCAGACATAATTACTAAAAATTACAATAAAATAAATAAATCTTACTTGATGATTCCATTATAATAGTTAAATATCTTAAAAACAAGAAATAATAAATGTTATTCAATCCCAATATTGTATAATCTTAAATTCGCATTGTGATGATATTAAAACCTTTTTTATTTTTGATGAAAGAATTATGACTCAAAATAGAACGTGTTTTTGTTTTCTTTTAAGAGAGAAAAAAGAGAGCTTTCAAAAAATTATCAGCTATGTAAATTTTTAAAAAACTGATTTCACTTTGTTTTTTAAATCATAAAATAATCGAAAGGTCAAAATAACCGAAAGTCTTATCTACTTTTCAATTACACATAACATCACTCAAACTTATATTTTCACAGTGTGGAACGGGATAATTTACACCCGATAATTACCTCCTCAATACTACACTAATCATTATCGTGTGTACAACAACAACAATTATCAATTACTTAAATTATACGAATGAATATTAGAAAACAAAATTTCAAACAGATTTAACTACAAAAAGAATGGAATGAAGACCAATTTCCAAAAATCAAATGAAAAAAAAAAACAAATTTCTTTCACAACGCAGTAAAAAAACAAAACAAAACAACTTTTAATTCAACGCAGACTCTTTCAAAATTAAATAAAAAATTAAAAGAAAATCTGAAGTTCAAATGGATACCGGGACCGGGACCGGGACCGGGACCGCCTTTAAAAGGCTCTCTTCAAAGTTCACAAAAGATACGCCTTTTAGATGCGGTTAGACTTGGAAGGCTTTACTTTTGAAAGTAGATACTAAAAAATAAGGGATAAAATATAAATTTAAACACTTAATTTTTAATTCAAATTTTGATTATTAAAACTTAATATTTTATTAATTTACTTATTAAAATCTATGTTGCTCCTATTATAATCATTCGAATATTAAATCACAAATAAAAGATAAAAGATGATATGATAATTATCTTATGTGAATTATTTTTTATTAACAAGAAATCAATGTCATTCTCTTTCTCTTTTACCTTTTTCTTTAAATATAAAATTTTTATAGTTTTATTCATGTGGCACATAGTCATTATGATTATTATTTTCGAACGCATTTTCCGATAACTCAAGAAATTAATAAATTTGTCTTATTATTACTTATCACTTTATTAGTTTAGATTTTATCTAAATTCACTTTAAAAATTTATAAAATTAAACCCTAACCTCAAATATCGTAAAACCTCAAACCACTATAATCTATAATATTAATTGTTTAACTGATGTGAAATTAATATATACATTTCATTTTCTTCTTTTCTATCTCCCGTCATTGAAATTTAAAAGAAAATACGACCATCAAAAAATTAATGAAATTCAAAATTAGATTTTTTAAAAAATATGAAGAATATTTTATATTTTTTTTAAAAGTTGCTCATTGATAATACCATTTGTATTTACCGATTGAGGGATCAAAATAAGAATAACTCAAAAGTATAAAGAAAAATTAAAATATTTTAAATTATAGTAACCAAAATAGGTGTAATAAAAAAGTTGAGTGGTGAAATTTGTAAATTAATCGCAAAATTTTAAACAAAGACTTTGGTGGAAGAGAACAAAACCCAAAACCCTAGCAAAGCAACCGGTGATCGAATCATATCGGAAAGAAGCTAAAGATACTGCGGGAGATAGGAAAAATGGTTGTGAGGATTCGATTGTCGAGGTTCGGATGCAAAAACAAGCCATTTTATCGGGTGATGGCTGCCAATAGCAGATCCCCAAGAGATGGGAAGCATCTCGAGGTCCTTGGTTACTACAATCCTTTGCCAGGTCTTCTTCCTCTTTCCATTTCCCCGCTCTGAAATGAAAGGGCAACTGAATTAATTATCGAAATTGCCATTTTCCAATACATTTTTATTGAATTTGATTCTTTTGTACAGGTCAGGACGGGGGGAAACGAATGGGTCTTAACTTTGAAAGAGTGAAGTAAGTTTCAGTCTCGCACTCTACCTTTTGGTCATATAATTCTTTCTTTCTTTTTCATTTGTAGATGTTACCGTTTTGCTCTTTCTTTTCTCATTGTCGAGAATTGGAAATATCTTTTATTGTGGATTACTGAATTTGTGAGGTATTGTGGAACTGCAAACACCTTGGAATCGGTTTCAATAGTGAGCAGTGTTTTCAAATTTTTTCGAGTAGAAACAACATAGATCTTATTGCTTTGTGTGTCTGAACATTGTAGGAAGAACCTCTGTGCTCTGCTAGAAAATGGGAATCAATTAATTATTTTTTAAAAAATTTAATATGAACATTTGAAGAGGTTGTGATAGGTAATTACTAATTAGGGCGAATGGTTTGCTCGTAGCTGTTATAAACTTACGATTGTGTGAACTATCGTGAGAAATTGCATGGGAGGAGTATTTCATAGTTGCAGAACTCCACTTAGAATTAGTTCATGGAATATGTCTTTTTTAGAACGGAGAAACAAGTCAGGATTTTGTTTATATGAGGGAAAACGGTAGTTGCTCCTTACAGACATAGTTCCTTGGACTCATGTAATTGAACGATGTTTCCCTTTGCTTGCTTGAAACTGTTTAATTTTTGAGAAGAAAAAAATGTACCAGCCTCGTACTTTCTTATAGTTGGCGATGAATCGATTTAATTGCAAACTCTTGGCAATTACTGTAGTCCTGTTCTACAAGTTGGCTGTGAAACCACCCGATAAAACATCTATTGTTATTGTTTTCTACAGGTACTGGTTATCGGTTGGGGCGCAGCCTTCAGAACCAGTCCAACGTATTCTTTTCAGAGCTGGATTATTGCCCCCACCTCCTATGGTGGCAATGGGACGCAAGGGTGGACAACGTGACATACGTCCCATTGATACTATGACGGGACGTGTTTTGAATTTGGAGAAGCCAGATACCGATAACCAAGAAGGAAATGATGGAGATGACGCTGTTGATGGGTCGAATTCTGAATGAAAATTTCATATCATCCCATAAAACTCGCTCTGCAGGTAGAGTGTGAAACAATTGTGGATTATATTGACTGATTAAGTGTTTATTTGAAGAAAATAACATTTGCCTTCTGTGGAAAGCTGGAAACTGCAGCATCTCATTTCCAGTTCGTTACGCCAGTGGCCTGGCCCTGTCAAGAAGGTTAGGTCTGTTAAATGTGATTCGGTGACTACTATTTTGGATTCTGAATTTCCCGTTAGAACACTAAACCAAAATATCTTGAATTTTTTGTTTGGTTTCTTGTTTCTCTATGGTAATCGCTTATAATCATGTGGGCAACAGTAGCTAGTGAATCTACACTATCTTCCTGCATAATATTTGCTGCTTGACTAGTGTAATTTGCTTTGCTCCATATCAAATAATAATAATAGAGATTTAATCTTTTTATTAAGATCATGTTGAGTGATACATTTTATGTGTATAAAACTAACACCCTAATGATAGTATAGTAAGATGGGTAAAGTATACAAATGGTCCCCCAATTATAGTATATTGTTTTATTGAGTTCCTTAACTATTAAAAGTCACAAAATGGTCTTCCAACTATAGGGCGATTTGCTTTTTTGAGTCCCTAGATTATTAAAAGTTACAAAATGGTCACTCGACTATTCATTGATAGCGGTTTGAGTTGGATGTTAACCTTCTTATTGGGATATGATAGTCGTTTGAGATTATACAATTATATTATATCATATATCAGTTAGAAGGTTAACGACCAACTGATGTTGTCGTGATTTTTAATGGAAAAATTACGAGTTTGGGGCACAATGAATAGTCGGGTGACCATTTTATAACTTTTAATAGTGAGGGGACTTAAAAAAATTACATCTTATAGTCAATAATTATTTTGTAACTTTTAATAGTCAGATAATTGAATAAATTAACACCCTATAGTCAGACCATTTATGTACTTTACCCTACTAAGATTACCAAAAAGTGATACTTTTTTAATGAGTCACGTATTTACCCTATAATCTTCTTGTTCAAGCCCGATACATGAATAAATTATTCTAAACCCAAAGCCAAATTAAAATTTTAACTCAATACCGAAAATTATAAGAGGCAAAACAAAGTTGACAAATTTGATTAACCATTGAATTAACCAACGAACTTGTAATTACGTTGCTTATTAACAACGTTATATACTTATATAATTTGTTTTGTGATATCAAACATAATTGGAAGCTTTATAAAAAGCAAAGGAGTAAAAACAACAATGATGTGATTTTTGTTGTTGTTGTTGCAAGATAGGAAGTATATCACAAGTAAGCATTATTGAAATACTCATTGAATTTTCCAAACATGCGAAGAGAATGTACGTTGCACATTTTGTTTTGTTATAACAAAAAACAAAAATAAAATGTGTTTAATACAATTTTCTTAGTCATCAATAGTTTTTTTTAATTTGTTAAAATTTAATAATTTAATTAATGATTTTTATCATATTGGTTATTAAATTTAGGGTTTTAGCTAATTATTAATAATAATTTTAAGGGTCAAGTATAGTGATGGTCACTGAACTTTTCCAAAGCTTTCATTTAGGTCCCCCAACTTTTTAAAACTTGCAATACAATACTTCAACATTTAGTTCGTTTGCAATATGGTTCCCCAAGAGTTATGTCGGGAATCATATTGCAAATGGACTAAATGTTGGGGGACTGTATTGCAAGTTTTAAAAGTTGGGAGACCTAAATGAAAGCTTTAGAAAAGTTCAGTGACCATTACTATACTTTACCCTTATATATGTAAATTGATTTATTTCAAATTTTATAAATTACTAATATCATTATTGACATTGTAATTAACATTAAATAGATAAAAATAATTAATTATTATATAATATACTTTTAATTTATTTTTAGGGTAAAGTATAGTAATTATCATGATCATATTAGTAATTTATAAAAGTTGGAATAAAATCAATTTACATATATAATTATAAAAAATTAAAATTTATGATATAATTTAAGATTTAACCCAATTATGTGAATATGTTAAGTCTCTAGTGTATAAGCATCTCAATATAAATACATACATTTATATGTATACATAATAATTATCATCCATTCGCCGATTGAACATAAGAGAGGAAACAATTATATATAATATTATAAATAATACTCTAGTTTATCTATATTATCAAATCGTATTAAATATTTATATCTTATGGATTAAGGAGCATTATAACTCTCGAATAAACTATAATGTATAAAATACAACCTCTAATAAGTTTACGTGATTTACTATAACAAAATTAAAAGTTCAATTATTAAATTTATTTAACAAAATAATCATAATAACCCTATGTCTAACTATAGTAATCCTGATTCAGAAAGAATTCCCACTGAGAAGATGATTTTAACCACTTGTATCCTTGACTTCTCTATTATGTCTTTTTATTTATACCTTTATCTCCATTTAAATTAGAAAAAATGAATTACTAGTGAGAGTAGGTTAAACTGTTACCATTAACAAGTACTATAATGACAAATCTCATAAACTTTAGGGCCATTTATGACATAAATCAAGAGTATATAAAATAAAGGTTAAAGTATAGTAATGGCCACTTAACTTTATTTTACATTAGCATCACGTGCCACCACTCCAATAGCCACGATACCGCTCTGGGAGCTGAAGGATTTTACATTGTGGCCGTAGCACTAGTCTGGGGAAAATTATCATAATGACCAAGCTTGGCCTCTGAGAATTCAGCCTAAAGGCCCCAAGCAGAAATTACCACATCGGGAAAAATATTATTTTAAAGAGGTTATTAATTTATCGAGCATTAATTTATAGAGGTTCTATTGTATATATAATTAAGTCCCTATTTTACTTAATACAAAGGAAAATGATATATATAAGGTCGAGTGAAATACAAGTTTTTACTTAAAAATTAAATCTGATTTTAGATTGAATAAAGCTTTCTTAAACCTAGATCGAATTCGGGAAGATCAAGAACACAATCCGGTCCGTGATCATCCTAGTAGCAATGTAATACACTCAATACTGGAGACTATTTATGAATGGTTAAAATACACTTCAAGTCCTTGTTCTTTGCACATTTAAAATTTAGTCATTCTTCTTCTATTTTTAAGAATTTAACCCTTTATTTTTTGAAATTTAAATTTTTGATTATAATTTTTACTTTTATTAAATTCAAAGTTCATTACAACGTCAATTTATTGTTACATAGTTACAAAATTAGTATTTTCCTTTTCTATTTAAAATTGCCACATCAACAAATTTCACCAAAAAACTTAACAATGTTTAACAATCAAACTTGACTTTTTAAATATGAGAAGTAAAGAGATTAAAAGATTGAAAATAAAAGTAAAAGAACTAAATTCTAAATGAATGAAGAGTACATGGACTTTGAGCATATTTTAACCATATAGTATTTAGGACAGTAAGATCTTTATAAATTAAAGCGTAAAGTATAGTAATGGTCACTGAAATTTTTTAAGGCTTTCATTTAGGTCTCCCAACTTTTAAAACTTGCAATACAGTCTCCCAATATTTAGTTCATTTTCAATATGGTCCCCCAAAATTTAGTCCATTTGCAATATGGACCCCGACGTAATTGTTGGGGGACCATATTGTAAATGGACTAACTGTTGGGGGACTGTATTGTAAGTTTTAAAAGTTGAGGGACCTAAATGAAAGCTTTAGAAAAGTTCAGTGACCATTACTATACTTTACCTTAATTTTAATTATGAAACACGCTAAGAAAATTTCGCGCTGCACAATATTGAAGTTTCACATTATCTTAAGAACTACAATTAAGAAACATCGTTAAATTCGGGGACAATATAAACAAAAAATTAGGGATCAACTTAAAACTTTTGTCAAATTCAAGGGCCAAAAGTTGTTTTAACCCTTAAAAATATATCAATGACAAATATACGATAAAATACACCGGATATCCTAAAACTATAATTAAATAATGTTTTTAGTCATTAAACTTTTAAAAAAAATTATAAATTGATCATTAAATTTATAAATATGTCATAAAATGTCTATTGCGACGTTATAATAATATTCGATGAATTAAATGACAAACTGTAATTTTTTGATAATATTTAATGGTCATTTTATAATAATATGATACAATTTAATGATTTTATTAGAAAATAATAAATTTAATGATATTTTATAATGTATAGGCGATTATTTTGTAATATTTTGATACATGTCATGATTAATTAATAAATTTTGAAAGGGGAGAGACCAAAGTGATTATTTCATCATATATTAGGGATTAATAATGTACTTTACCCTAAAAGCTATTGCTCACCGCGGTTTAGGTTTTAATTACAAACGAAAAGGGAAGTGAATTGAAAGTGAGTCGACTCAGTTCACTTTCACACGCCTCTCGCTCAAACTCTTCAAAACTCCTCCCTTTTTGCTTCTCGCTCTTCATTCTAGGGTTTTTAGCATCTTCTCTCTCCTCCTCCAAATCAGTTCTTTCACTTTCTTCTCTTGAGAATCTTCAATGAGCAACTTAAATTTGTCCGATCTCGGCGATGGTAATCTCGTTCTCCATTAGAACCCATATATCTACTGCTTCACTTTTTCTTCGCTTCGCTCCCTCGTTATCTTCTTTCTTTTGTTGCAGCTCTTAACGAGGATGCTCGAGCTGATCTCGTTAACGCTCTCAAGGTCGGTGACACTCGGGTTTCTTTCTCTTTCATTAAAAAACTATCTTTTTCGATTTTGTTGACTTTTGATGGTGTTATGTAGAATAAACTTCAGAATCTTTCTCGAGAGCACACCGATATACTAGAGCGCCTGTCGCCGAATGTCAAGAAGCGTGTGGAAGTTCTCAGGGAGATCCAGGCATATTCCTTCTTGCTAACCTTTTATAATCATTGTTACTGTCATCTGTACTATTACTATGACATCACTCTCGTCTCACTTTGGGTTTTCTCCATCAATAGAACTTGATACTTGATTTGCTTCTGTAAATAATTGAGTGCCCTCTAATGCATATGATAAACTCATTTTGTTTATTTTTATAAGAAATCTGGGGTCTGTTAATTTTTCTTAACAGGGTCAGCATGATGAGTTAGAGGCTAAGTTTTTCGAGGAGAGGGCAGCACTTGAAGCTAAATACCAGAAACTATATCAACCCTTATATGCCAAGGTTTGCCTTTCAAATTTTGTTTTGGATTTTTTCCTGATCCGTTACTGTTGTTTTATTACCTGATTACTTGTCATACATTTTAGCGATACGATATTGTGAATGGTGTTGGTGAAGCTGAAGCAACTTCAAATGAATCTGCCATGGACCAAGGAGAGGAAAAAAATGCTGAAGGTATGATTTTGTTTTATTAATTTTTCGCTCAGTTTTTCTCCATTGTATCCTTTCTTTCCACGTGTATGTATATTTATGGAATTATGATCTATGCAGAGAAAGGAGTACCTGATTTTTGGCTTATTGCAATGAAAAATAATGATGTGCTTTCTGAAGAGGTTTGTTATTGATTTATAAATGTTGTCTTAAAACATTTTTCTTGCTGGAATCTGATTTTGCTTCTCTTTCGTTTGGAATAAGATCACTGAGCACGATGAAGGAGCTCTCAAATATCTCAAAGATATTAAGTGGTATAGGATAGAGGATCCTAAAGGATTCAAGCTGGATTTTTACTTCAACACAAATCCTTATTTCAAGAATACTGTGTTGACAAAGACCTATCACATGATTGATGAAGATGAACCAATTCTTGAGAAAGCTATTGGGTAAATGCCCGCCAATTGTTCTTTTGGAATTTTTATTGTATTTGAATTCATAATATAATTGAACATTGTTTGACCTAATTTGTAGGACTGAGATTGAATGGTATCCAGGAAAATGCTTAACACAAAAACTCCTTAAAAAGAAGCCTAAGAAGGGATCAAAGAATGCCAAGCAAATTACTAAAACTGAAGATTGTGAAAGTTTCTTCAACTTCTTCAATCCTCCTCAATTACCGGATGATGATGAAGATATTGATGAAGATACTGTAGGGCCAAGTTCACCATATCTGTTTAAACTTTAATGATCTGCTTTTTTGTTTTTGCTCTCATTTTTTTACTTTGCTGTGTAGGCTGAGGAGCTACAAAATCTAATGGAACAGGATTATGACATAGGGTGCATTCTCTTTTCATCTCCATAGGCTTGTTTCTGTGTTTGAACTGATCTGCATGCTTCATATGAGCTATTCATCACTCAAACTATAAGTTTGATATTAGCGCTCAATGTTACATGTATTAAATACTTATGTTCTTTATGGTATCTGTTTATTTGTGTAGCTCAACGATTCGAGACAAGATTATTCCACATGCTGTGTCATGGTTCACAGGAGAAGCTATGGAGGGAGATGAGCTTGAGTTAGAAGATGATGATGATGATGAAGAAGATGATGACGAAATTGATGAGGATGATGACGATGAGGAGGATGAGGATGAGGATGATGACGATGAGGAGGATGAGGAAGAAGAAACTAAGCCTAAAAAGAAGGTATGGTTGTGTGATAGATTTTCTTTTTTCTTTTTGGATAATCCATGAGTTATTAAATCCTAAAGAAAAAAGTAAACAGCTACAATGTTCACAAAACCACCTAAAAATGTACATTTCCTATACAACTAAATGATCCCCAATCTATATATAATTGTCTTAACAACATCAGTCCTTCTGAAAGTAGCATTGTCCAGCTTGATTCTCACATTCTTTCATCAATTCAAGTAATTACTCCTCAGTTCTCCTTTGATTGTTTCTGTCTCACCACATCTAGTACATGAGCAGTGCAGGTCAATCTCAATGTAACAGTAATAAGGGTTCTCCCTCCAAGCTTAGTAACAGCCATTGTTTTTCCTATTCCCAATTACCAGGTTCACTTCATAAAGTAAAGCTTCAATATATCCTCTCAGACCTTTCTCTAAAAAGAACACACTTAGAAAGGATGATCTCTTACCACAAAAGTTGCAGTCGCCATCGAAGTCCATTTCCCAATTCCTAAGCCTATCCTCATAGGCAACATGCTGAGACAAGCCAACCTAGAGATGAAAGAGCACTTAGGAATAAACAAAGGACACTATATCACTCTGCAGAAAGCAACCTTTGGGGACTTTGGCCTGATCTCTTTCCAGATTTTACTCATCCGAAGCTTATGATTAGCTGCAAGAATCCTTTTGCAAGAACTTTTGTTTTGTTTTCTTAAGCCCATTAGCTTCTTCCAGCACCAGCTACAATTTAGAGTCACTGGGATATGCCATATATTTCTAATCCCTCAACAAATAGGGAATTAATCCAGGCAATCCAGAGAGTACCAGACTGCATAATAATTCCCCAAAGTTGAATGTTATAGATTTTCATTGCAGCAATAATATATGCACCTTTATTCTTTCTGAAATCGAGTGATAATTGTTTGTTTGTTCAATGTTAAATCTCATGGAAATGCCGTTACAGTCCTCATCTTCACGGAAGGTACGCTTTCATATCACTTAGGCCCTTATTTTAGCACCCTCTTTTTGAAATTATGGCTTATAGTTTTCTTCTACGGCAGAAGAATGGAAGAGAACAAGGGGATGGGCAGCAACAAGGTGAGAGGCCTCCAGAATGCAAGCAGCAGTAGATTTTAATTGCTGGAGTGCATATATGTGTGGCGGTGTTAAGCCCCCTCGGAAGGGGGCATTGGAGCTTGCATTTTTGTTGGTTTTTTATTTTTACATTTTTTTCATGTCCTACCATGAATGATTGGTTTGGGGAATCCATGTGTCTCCTATTTTTCCTTTGGGTCTAGTCTGGTAGAGTTGTGTTGAGAATATTTTTACGTGTATGTTCCTTTGAACACGTCTGCCTTAGTATTCTATTATTGTGATAACTGGTTACCAATTATTATTTCTAGAAATCCATTTAGTTTAGGTGAAGCAGCCTTGATTTGACTGTGAAATCAGTGAGTTGTAGCCGTCTCCAAATATGATTTTTCTGTTTCTTATTTCATAACAGTGTAGATTCTGAACTTTTTTTCTTCTAATATTAGCTTCAAAATGTTGTTTAAGGTAATAATTTTTTTTAACAATGGTAGTATTTTTTCCTCAAATAGTGGGAATGCCATTTCTATTAGTTTCTTAGATATTACATAACTTTTAGTTTAGGATCTGATTGCCTTAAAAATGAGAGATTTTGTTTATAAGAAATATTTAATACTCCTGGTCCATTAAAGTTGTCCCCTTTATGTTTTAAAATTATCCTTTTTGAAAAAATCAACAGGAGGTATATTTTTCTTTCTATCTTTTTTTAGTTTTTCAATAAAATAAAATTTAACTTTTTAGGATAAAATGGGATGAAGTATGTTTTTAAGTTTTAATTAGATGTATAATTTTATTAAATTCTTTTACCTTATATTAATCTGATAATTTCATATAATTTAGATACTAAAACAAAACAAAAATAATAATTTAGATATAAATTACCCTAATTACAATGCCAAAAGAGGACAAGACAGCAAATACATGGTCGAAGACTTCGACAACTAATAATCCATTCCGATGACAATGTCAGTCAAAAGTCAAAATCGGCGTCTCCACAGTTCAAGAGTGACCCGAAACTTGGATTTCTGGAATCATAACGTGACGACGAGAAAAACCTTTTACTAATTTCTAGCCTCACAAATATTTCCACATCTTCAATATTTTAATATTCTGTTCATATACAGTAGATGAGTGATACTAAAATATTTTTTTAGTGTTTTCATAAAAAGGATTTGTCTATGAATTAATTAATCTTAAGTAATGACGTTCAAATGCAACTAAATATGTATTATCTTCTTATTTATAAGTGAAGAGAATTTTAAATAATATTTATATATTACAAATAATTTTAGGTAAAAGAGAGTATTATTCATTTTATAGAATATAAGTTTGATTAGTTATGTTTGTTGTTTTATCCCCTTAAAACTGAATAAAAATAATTAATATATAATTTTATTGTTTTTATATATTATTTAAATTCTAATTTATATTTAAGTGAATGATTATGAGTTATTTTTCCTAACAAATAACTTTAATCCATTATTTATTCAAATTATTAAGAATACATTGATAGAATTATAAAACTCTCTCCTCAATGTATATAATAACTACGGAGTATTATAGATATACAAAATCGAAGCGTTCAATCTTGTAAAATAAAACTTACCATATATCAAAATTGAATTCGTCCATCACTGATGACGGGGCACACATCATCACCATTAAAGATATGTAGGACGTATTTTCTTTGTATTAATTAGATGATGAGTATTATGTTGGATTACCGTGCCAGGTCAGCTAATATCCTTCTAATTGCTTCCCGGAAGGTGGCTTCATCCCAGTCATTGACCTACACATCATTAAATATATTAAAATCTTAATAAACATCAATTAAAATTGGAGATTATTTACATTAAAAAAAATCCATATTAATTGCTTGCCTCAATTCTAAATCTCACGTTAACATGATTAACCGAGCCTAGTTCTGTTATCCGAGTGTCAGACTCAGTGGACATCAAGGTTGTATTTCTGTCGAGTTTCAAGAATTCTAGCAACTGGATTAAGATATCCGTTATCAAATTTTCCCCTCTAAAGGTGATTCTCATGTGGATGATTCTTTGTTGCGATGTCGATTCGGATTCGGGTATGATCCGAATGTTTATCCTCTCATTTGATGAGCCATTGTCTTCTTCGGCAGCATCACTCGACAGATGAGCTTGTAATGACTGGTTTTGCCGATTGAGCTCCATGATTTGAGCTTTCAATGAGGCCAAGTACTCCATTGAACTAGCGAGTACTGAAACTCTGTCTCTCTACATGAAACCCGAGTACACCGACATTGTTAAAGCCTTCGAATAATTAAATCATTTGATGCTTGAAATAAATTCAATGGCGGGGTGTACCTTGGTACCGGGAGGAAGAAGGGATCGCAATGCTTCGAAGCTTTCATTGAGCTTTTCTCGTCTTTTACGTTCCGAAAACATGTGCTGCAATTGATTGGCGGTGGGCCGGCTTCGCGGCAGTTGTTTACGCCTCACCGAATCTAATTCTCTGCAGAATAAAATGGCTCGTTTCAGCATGCTTTGTGGCCGTAAGCTCGTCCTCGCCGCTGTTGTTTGGGATGCGCTTAACACGACGGAGCCGTAAAGTTTAAACGCGGTGGCTTTGGGGTTTTGCTGATGGGATTTGGATGAGCAAGATGAAGAAGGAGAGGTTAGAACAGCAAGGATCGCTTTGGTCATCACTGCATTTTCGCTCTCTAAAGTCGGTAATCTTATATCGCTGCGAAGCTCGGATAAGGCTTGTTGCACGGCTTGCTGGTGTGGATCGTAGGCTGAAGAAGATGACGCTTTGGCTAGCAGTGATGAGGGTATTGTTTCACCGGTCTGAACTTGAGGCCGAGGAGCACTTGGGGCGGCGGTGGGCATCAGATAAGAATCCTGACTACCACCAGTGGACCGTGACCTTAATGACGATGAAGAAGAAGAAGGCCTGTTGGGGTCGGTGGGTTGCAGCAGCTGATTTCCTATAGCCACCGGGGACAGCCGCAAAAAGTCTTCTGGGAAAAAACTTCTCATCTCCATCTCCATGTTAAGCTATTAAAAAGATCACGAACTACTTCAGCGACAAACACACACACACCCCACATATAATCATTTATTGAATTATATTATTTACCTCATTGGGAGACCCTAATTCAATCTCGCCACTCCTGCATCCCATGAAAACAGCAGTCTGCAATACATAAACAGACGAAAAAAAGCTCACGTCACGGTTATTTCATTACTATAGGGACCATAACTTTTGACTGCAAAATGAACAAACCTTAACTCCTGCTTCCTGTAATAAAGACAAAAAGGTGTTAGGTTAGGTTACCATGTTCATTCTCGTTAAATTGCTTCTTCTTCTTCTTATTTTTTGTCATCAAATTTGCATTTGATCTAACTAACTTACCCGATAAAACTGTCGCTGTGTGTGATGAGATGCTCGGTTTTGAAGCTCCTGTTCCCTCAGCTCAGTGTAAGGACTGTAATTCCTGAAAGCAAATCCCGGAACGGTGCCACTGTAGCACAGAGATTTCACTCGTTAATGGTGAAGAAAAAACTGTACTTTAGCCGATCGAAGCAGGAGAAGAACTGAAGAAGCGAAATTGTCATACAGATTGTTTTCGAGAGGGAATATTAATTGACGATATTCTATGAACAGAACCAGAGCTTCGGGTTGGATCGTGTTTACGTCATTATAATATCCATCCAAACCAATTAAACAACTGCAAAAAAAAAAAACCAAAATATTAGTTTCTCAATTCGTAAATCACGTGCCCGGTGCTCTCGAAAGAGACAATATAAAGTGATGAAGAAGATCACTTTGCTTGCTGCAGCCATAAGCAAATGTATTTGCAGCCAGTCAACCGCATGAGAAATTGGAGAAAACTAGAACGGGCAGCTTCATCGAGGTTGAAGACAGCGTCCATGTAGACGAAGAAGACCCCCCTTCTTTTTTATCCCTAAACTGCTGGTTTTCTGGCTCTCATATCATATTGATTGCCAGAAAAGTTCATCATTGCTGAGAAACTGCACATGCTTGATGGAAAACAATGGAGGAGGAATCATCTTATTGAAGAGAAGAGAAGAGAGAGAGAGAGAGTTATTGAAGCCTGTGGTGAAATGAATGGTAATAAAGGTGATCCAAATATATAGGGGAAAGAATTGTCCGGTAAAGTGAGAACTGAGAAAAGTATTAAGGACAGAAAGTGGTCCATTTTAATTGATACAATGAATAAGAGACGAAGAACTCATACGGCCAACCAAGAGAGAAAAGTAAAGCGTCGGTCAACCTTCCAAGTCTCTCCTCCACGCCGTTGTTTGAGAAGTGTCAACGTGGGAGGGAAGGATATGAGCAAGTTATAGTTTAGGTAGATCCAACTCTCTGCGCAAAATCTTGTATACATATATTTGTGCACTTATCTCAAACCTGAATTCATGACCATGACACTATACTTTTACATTTGCTTCAAAACTGAGGGATATGTTATTAATTATAAAATTAAGGCTAAAAAATGAATTCCGTAAAATAAAATATATTTTCTGAAAATCATTTTACGATGCTTGGATGGTGTCGTATAATTCATTTTTCACTGATTGGTAAATTTTTAAATTTCTTTATGATAAACATCAAATACAATAACTAATATTATTTATTCACAAAATAATATTTTTTTAAAAATATCTACAATCAAAATAATTTATTTAATATTATTTATGTCAATATTATTATTATTAAAATTTTATATCTACAATTTTATAAATAAAAATATTAAGATTATGATATTTATTAAAATAAACTTATTATAAATTATATTAATTATTTATTAAAACAATAATAATATATTATTAATTATATTAATTACTTATAAAAATAATAATTTTATTAAAATATTAAAAATGATAATATTAAAATAAAAACATTATATTATATTTTAAAGAGTATATTTTAAATAGTCAATAATTTTATTTTTATGAAATTAATAATTTATTATGTATTATTAAAATAAAAGTATAATATTATATATTATAATGATATAATTATAACAATATAAATATAATATTATATTATGAAAATTGTCGATAAATATAATTTAATAATTAATATTTTATTAAAATGATACTAAAATAATATATTAATATTAAATATAAAAAATAATAATATTTTGAGTGTATATGCTTTGAATTGAAAAGTTCGTAAAATGACTTACGAAAAATCACAACGTAAATCATTTTTTAGAAAATGCAAAGGAAATTAAGTTAATAAAGAAAATGAATTACATTAACCATCTTTTTTTCGTCAACAAAACACTTAAAAAAATGAGGAATTTTTTTTTTAAAACCACACAAACCCTAATTCACAATCATTCATTGGTTTTATTGTCAAATAAGTAAAAATAAATCTCATAAAAGTTTAATTTAATTGTTGATCTCTTCAATTTGATTTATCTATCAATAGTACGTCACATTATATAATAAAATATTATATTCTCCTGATTTACAATACAACAATTTTCTGTATAAACTTATAAAAGTGAAGTAATAAAGGGTAAAGTATATAAATGGTCCCCGTATATAGAGTATTGTTTTATTGAGTTATTCGACTATTAAAAGTTATAAAATGGTTCTCCGACTATAAGACATTGCTTTTTAAGCTCATTGACTATTAAAAGTTACAAAATGATCACCCGACTATTACTGTGTTCCAAACTGATCCTTTTCCGTCAGAAATTTGATGGCAGTTTGAGTTGGAAATTAGCTTGTTGACTAATATATGATATAATATGATCCCAAAATCTCAAACGACTATCATATCCTAGTTAGCATGTAAATGTCCATCTCAAACTGCCATCAATTTTTTAAACGAAAAATGACGAGCTTGGAATACGATGAATAGTCGAGTGACCATTTTGTAACTTTTAATTGTCGAATGACCTAAAAAAGTAACGTCATATAATTAGGGGACCCTTTAATAACTTTTAATATTCGGAGGACTCAATAAAACAATTCTTTGTTGTCAAGGGACCATTTGTGTACTTTAATCATCATCTCTTAAATATATCATCGATATAAATAATTTAAATATTATGCGTATACGTTTATGAACTTTCACATGCATTGAAGATTCAAAGTTCTAACCTAACATATTGAAAAAAAGTATGGTGATGTCGAAATTTTTTGCCCTAATTCTAAATCTATTTTGAGCAGTTAAACTTTGGACCGACTATTTCTTTAACTACTACCTAATGAAGTCACATAATCCCTTTTTCACTCTACAACAATAAATTAATGTGTTAAGCAGGGGGCACATCAATATGATGTTAATGCATAAAACTTGGTCCAATCTTCACCATACATAACATTTGTCTCTGCATAAATTATTTTGACGTTCCAAGCTTTACTCAACCGATCTCAGTCCAACTCAAATTATATTTTATTCAGATAAAGTGTGTATTGATTTTTCAATGCCATCACAGCAAATATTTTATTTTTATTATAATATTTCCAAATAAAAAAAATCCAATTTGACGGTAAAATTATAATATTACCATACATAACATTTATCTCCGCATAAAAATTGAAACCAAAATCGAATGGTAAAATTATGATTTTTGGTTCGGTTTGGTTCGATTTTATGATTTTTGAATGTTTACTATTTTTCAACCTAACCTTAAATATAGAAACAAAATTAAAGCTTAAATTGAGTAGAAGTATATTAATTTAAATTTATAAAAAAATATATTAGTTTTAAGATTTTATTTATTTAAATTTATCTTATAATAAATTTATTTTGGATACTTATTTTCTTTTAATTTTTAAAATTTTGCTCAAACGGTTTTCATATAAAAATACCGAACTGAGCCAAATTATATATTTATTTTTTACCAGAACCAAGATCAAACCTCGAATTAAAAAACCCAAACTGAACCGAATAACATAATTTGATTCAGATCGGTTTTTTTTTATTTCTCTCGATTTCGTTACTCAGCACTAACGTTTGGTTGTTCAAAAATAATAATAACGAGCCAAAGGTCAACACTCGACAGGCAGGCAGGCATGCATGATGGTGAACATGAATGTGAAAGCGTTGATTTCCCATTTATAGTCTTCCTCATGGATGTGAACATATTTCGTCAAGGTCTGTCTGTCTGTCCGTCTTCATCGTCCCTCCACAAGAACATGACTGCAGCTTGCTGCATGTGGAAATTATATATTAACGTTAACGTCACATATATGTTGTAGTATATTAAAAATATTAATGTATTTGCAATAAAGATTTTTATATTCTTTCTGATCACACGTGACAGAGGACAAAAATATACCTACTTTATTTTTATTATATGTAACACTGTGATAATAGTATAATATATACCTTTAGGGGGTGTTTGGTTCAAGGATTGTGGGATTCCATCCCATGGGAATCCCACATTCCCATGTTTGGTTGGCCGGGAATCTCATTCCCGGTAATGTTTTATTACCAATAGTAGATTTTTTGGGGTATATTACCAGGAATGTCATTATCTCCCTTCACTTAGGTATTGTAACATTACCGGCGTTTTGGACTAAAATGTCCTTAAATTTTTATTTTTTTTTCAAAAATATCATTCTTCTGTCATTGAATAATAAAAATTCTACGAAGGTTAAATTACAAATTTATCCTTAAATTATTTTAGATTTACAAAAAAAAAATCTATAATTAAAATTTTATATGAAGTTTAGGGGTTAAAAAAAATTACCCTTTCATTAAATCTTTTTTATATTTTAATTTTGTAAAAAAAATTATATAAATATTATGAATTTAATTTTTTTAAAGAAAATATATAAATATTTTCCAACTTGTTAAAAAAACAAATATATAATAAGGACAATTTGGTCAAATATGCATTCCAATAACCTTTTATTCTTTTAATCAAATACGGTAATCTTACATTCCTGCTAAACCAACCAAAAACAAAATACAACATTCCCAGTAATCCTATTCTCTGGTAATCTTTTATTCCCACTGGTAATCTTACATTCCGTGAACCAAACGCACCCTTAAGTTTCAGTCTTCTTGAAATTCTTTTGTTTCTTCGTTAAATCAAGATTTCATTGGTCATTTTTGTGAAGGTTTTGAGCTTACTATATTATAATATACCTATCACGGTGAGTGAGCTGATTTCCACATTATTGGTTTTAAAAAATTATATTTTGTATGCTATAAATCATTGGTTTTATTAAATAATTTGATTTGACATTATACAATTTTTTACTAATTAAATAAAAAAATAAAACAAACTAATAATCTCGAATGAGGAGAAACTACAAAATTTAAGGTAGACTAATCACTTCTCTTAAAAATTTCAAAGAACGAAAATTAATTGTAAACAATAACATCGAAAGTGTTTAAAAACAAAACTCAACTAAGTAACAAAAAAAAAATATACAAACAAACATCACAGTCGATGATGAAAGATAAACATCGTCAATACTAACATAATAATAAATCATGATAACACATTCATTACATTATAACTCAAATATAACATATTTAGAGTGATTAAGATCGTTTATCTATATGTATGAATCGATATATCAATAAGATAATAAAATAAACATCAATAAGAGAATGACAATAAATCTGACCTACAAAATAAGAAGAAACATGTTTTCCCAAGAAAATGATAAGATTTGTAAAACAAAATAACATAAAAACTAAGATATGAAAAATAAAAAATTAAAGCAGAGAGAAAAAAAATCACTAAAATTCTTTTGTTATTGGAAAACTGACATAATGATATTATAATACTTCAAAAATATTGTAACACCCAAACTAACCTCAATGTTAATAATATGATTATTTAATGTAAAACCGCCGACTTTCCCGACTGGTGCACAAAATCCATAAAAAAATTAAGCAAGGACTTCATTTTTCTAGTAGGTATGAACTAGAACTGATGGGTATTATTTAGCAATATATTAACATGTTCATATCTAAGGGTCAACGATGTTGATATATATATATATATATATATATATATATATATATATATATATATGATTAAAAATGGATAGTTGCTCATATAAAAAAATGAAAGAAATGTACAGACACAAATTTTATAAGGTAGTAGAGAGTAGAGGCATATTTTGATAGGCATTTTAGCAGCTAACTTTATCTTAAAATACTGTTTGATATTAGTTTTGTTTAACTTGTCAGTTGATTGATAAATAATTTGGTAGATATCTGTATTAAATTTGAATCTTGATGCTAAGAGTAGAAAAATAAAATTGATAAATCTATCTTATAATAATTTTTTTAATATTTAATTTAAATTAATTTTCATTTATTAAATATTAATTTATCAAGTGGTCTTAGTGGTTAAAGAAAATGTTTGTTCTTCCTAGATATACTGAGTTCGAGTAGCTATGTCTTCAATGTGTGTATGTGCATTGCTAATATTTAAGGAAAATTTTGAACATATATTATCTTGTAATAGTTAAGAAAAAATTTGAATATATATTATCTTGTAAATATAAAATTTAATCTACATTAATAGAGTAAAATTTCTACCAACAAGAGTTGGTTCAAGTGGTAGCTTGATATCGCTTAATCAAAATTTTGGGTTCGAGTTCTTGTGCACGCAGAAAATCTTCCCTGAAAGATTCACCCACCAATCAAGTGTGCGATACGGATCGATCCGAATTGGTCAATATGAAACCTTGGAAATGGAAAAGCAACCCAAAAAAGATAAAAATTTCTGTAAAAAGATTATATTTTTTGGCAGGATCATAGAGTTACCCATGTTTCCGTGGCCTATATTAGGTTTAATTCATTGCCAGGTTAAGTTGGGTCCAGTTTTTGTAAAGATATAAAGGGGATTACAACCCAAGTTCATCACATAACATGGGCTTTGATCATAAAATATGATAGCTCTTCAATTCCTTCAACTTTCTAACCTCACTGGACCAGTAGCTTTGCTTTATTGTTGTCGTGTAGAAAGGAAATAAAATAGTATAGTAAAAGGAGATGGGAACTCTTGCTTGTAATTTTCACTCATTTTTCTTAAATTTATCAAATTCTCAAACTATCTCTTCTCGTAAGTTTCCTATTCACCAGGTCCACTACTGTATCACAGCAGCAACAAACTTGAGGTTGAAGATGTCTCACTCTCTCTCTTCCCAAAACCCAGGTCACCTTTATTTCTTTATTGATTTTTTAAGTTAATCGAGTATTGGAGATTGACTTTTGTTATATTTTCAGTGACTGAGCAGCAGAGAATTGTAATCCCAAACAAGCATGGTGAAAAGCTGGTGGGGTTATTACATGAAACTGGGTCTAAAGAAATTGTAATCCTATGCCATGGTTTCAGATCCACCAAGGTTGGTAAACTCTAGCTGAAACCTTTTCATATTTCTGCACTTTGACTTTAATCAAGTATTGGGGAAGATAACTCTTTATGTAGCAGCGCTCGTATTTGGGGGTTCCAAGGCCCACTCATCGAATCTGATTGTGCTACAGGCTGATCGTACTATGGTGACCCTTGCTGTTGCTTTAGAGAAAGAAGGAATCGCAGCCTTCCGTTTCGACTTTGCTGGAAATGGGTAGGTTGGATGAGATACAATGGATTCATCACTATTGCGTTGATGAATCCATTGGGCATTTATTTGTATTTGCAGAACTAGAACTACTGATACAATTTTATAGAAGTTTGCACCGTGCCATAAAACCTTGTGTCCGTCCATGTGCTGTGAATCGTGAGCTTCCGCATTCAGATCTTTGTCCAGTGACATAGCTTCTTATGTCACCTGAGCCTTGTACACAATTTTGCTGCTTAACGTATGATTAATCGTGAGCTTCCGCATTTCAGAGAAAGCGAAGGTTCATTTGAGTTTGGTAACTACTTGAGAGAAGCCGATGATTTGCATTCCATCATCCGACACTTTAGCAGGGCAAACCGCGTAGTAAATGCGATTGTTGGGCATAGCAAAGGTGAGTGGATTGATGTTTTCCTTACAATTGCATATATGAAGATTGAAGAAGAGTAGGAAGGAACAGATTCAGACTTCGTGTTCTTTCCATGTTGGATTTATGAAGGCTTATGTAGTCTGCTTTAATTAGTCTTTATTTGGATGCAATTTTCTTTTCTAGCAACCTACTTGCAGTGTTCGAAACAATAACGAAATACCAAGTTTTCATATCTACACTATTGCAAGTGTTGTATAGCTAAATTATGTTAAATGCAGGAGGTGATGTAGTGCTTGTCTATGCTTCCAAGTATGATGATATCCATACTGTTGTCAACGTCTCCGGCCGCTATGACCTGAAGAAAGGAGTTGAAGAACGGTTCGGGAAAGGCTCTATGGACAAGATTAAGGACGACGGATACATTGATATTAAGAATAAGGAAGGTAACAGTTATTTTGGTTGAATGATTATAATGTGAATGAGTTCTTCGGTCCTCACTATTGCTTTCCGCATGTTAACTGATACCTAAGCCACTGTTCTTTCCAACTGAAATCTTTCTTTTCCCTCTTTTGTTCCTTTCGTTGTTTGTCATTACGGATTCATTTCACATTGATCGAGTATTCGAGATTTTATGTCTGTAGGAAGTGTCGAGTTTCGTGTGACAAAGGAAAGTTTGATGGATCGCCTAAGTTTAGACATGCACGAAACATGTTTTAAGATCCCCAGGGAATGCAGGTGAGAACGAATCATATTCAACCATAGTTTTTCTCGTGGTGTTTAAAGGCTTTTACTGGCTTGACGGATTTTATACATGACCGTTAGGATATCATTATTTCCGAAGTTATGATCGGTATAAAAAGAACAAATCTCATCAAGCGATTATCTGCAGGGTGTTGACAGTCCACGGATCTGCCGACGAAACAATACCTGTCGAAGATGCATTCGAGTTTGCCAAGATCATACCGAACCACAAATTGCACGTCGTAGAAGGCGCCAATCATAATTACACGAAACATCAAACCGAATTAGCATCGGTGGTGGTGAATTACTTAAAGGCAGCTTTACAGCAAGAGTAGGGAATTCCCGGGTACCTTTTATGCCAAGTAAAATCTTTAGTTGTGAGTGTTTGGGGACATGTTTAGGGTTACCAAAACTATGATATTAACTTATTTTGGTGTGTATTACATATAATAAATTAAATATTAATATTATATTACTTCGATTAAAATAGTCTTTCATTTTCTTCCGTTGGCATCGGTGCGATCATTTCCCCGGTGTTACTGTTCCCCTTCTTTTTTGAGAAATTTCCAACTTATGCTTGTAATCTCCATTCTTTTTAATATATTATATAAGAAAATAAGAGATCGAACATGTTTAAGCATTAATATCCTTTCAAATTTTAATTTATGAATGGAGATAAAACTTGATAATATAGATAGGGGTGAGCGTTCGATCGAGTCCAGTCAAATTTTTTTGAGTTATTCGAGTTAATGAGTCGTATTTCACAACTCGAAGTTGACTTAAATTTTCTCGAGTCGAGTTTATAAAATTCGAGTTGAGTCAAATTTTTGAGTTTTTGTTTAAATTTAACTGTAAATATTTGTAATATTATGATATTATCTTATTCCAATTTAATTAATTTTTTATAACCATATATATATATATATATATATCTTCATATTTTTTTTCATATATGATATACATACATCATACATAATTGAGGGGTTTGACTCAAACTTGAGACTCAATCTACTAGACTAAAAATTTCGAGTTATTTGAGTTACTATTCGAAATGTATTTTACAACTCTATTTGAACTTACATTTTTTTAGTCGAAAAAATCGAGTTTTTAAGTCGAATCGAATTTTGTTTACCCCTAAATATAAGTAATATTATATTAAAAATTTAAAATAATTGAATTGAATTTTTTTAATCTAATGGATCACGAAATATAAATAGTTGTTACAACTTGCACGTAATTATATTTAATAAAAGAATAAATATTTGTTTGAAATGAATTTTGGAAATCCAAAAATACTGAAATGATCAATTTTTAATTTTCAAAATCACCATTATCATATTATCAGATCAATGATGGAAAAACTCGCACAACAACGAGAACATAAATATTTCATACGCCACGGTGTACAGAATCAAAAGTATTAATACGGGCAAAGACTTGAAGGCTTCATCATAACCTCTTAGTCGCGCGTTATTTTCACTCTCTTTGATCAAACACCAGAATCCGAAGGCGACAAAAGAGCCATGGTAAATCTCTCACAGTTCAAATCGAAGCTTTTCTCTTGTTCATTTGAGTTTGATTATGATTTTGTTTCAGGCTCCTTCTGCGAAGCCAATAATGAGTCCAGTGTCTGATTCGTGGTATCCAACCCTAGCCGTCTTCATGCTCGCCATTGGTCTTGTCCTCACCGCTTCCTTGTTCATGTAACAACCTTCATCTTTTCTTCTCCTTTGCGGCATTTCTTCATTTTTTACTATTCCAAATTTCGTGTTTTTGCTCTTGTTATATTAAATTTTGGAGGCATTTTTTCTTGTTTGCCCTTATTTTTATGAAAGTTTTACAAGTAGATCTGGCTGTTTTGGTACAAGATAAACTGATGATTTGTTATACAATAGGGTAACGGTATAACATTAGCATGACATGACTGCGATATTTTTATTTAGAATGGTACTTTCATTGAATTGATATGAAAATTTTCTTTCCCTTTTAATTAGGCAAATTTGCATGCTACAATGTGCAGTTTTCTTTTTAATGAGAATAAGAATACCAATGTTAATTTTATCATTGCCCTTTATGTTTCTTGTTGCTACAGTCCTGCATTTCGCTTCCCTTTAATTTGTAGAATTATCAGTTGGAGTCATGGAGTTTCATGTCTGCTTTGGTTCCAGAAATACTTGTCTCGATGAGTATCTGGTTATCATGATTTGGTTGTAGTGTTTTCAAGGTTGAACTTTCCTCAATCATTTAAAATTGAACTCTCACACCCGTGGTATTCCTGATGCTTAAACCCGGGAATACAAGCTTGATTTCGAGGCCTAAGACTATACATCAACTTTTTTCATGACTAAACCTGTTTCTAAAATATCATTGTAAAAATTAGGAAAGTTTGAGAGAGAGAAAATATATGTACACGAACTCACTTGATTTACCACGTGAACTTATTTGATAAGAAATTTAGATTTATCCTAGATTATAACATGATTCGTTTAGAATATCATAACATGATAACAAATTCTCAAATCACACATATAGCAAATCTATTGCTAACTTTTTTTTGAGCAAGATACTATCTATTTGAAGAACTTATATCAATCTCATTAATTACACAAATTTTCTTTATTATCGTATAACGTTATTTTAAATATAAAATAATTATTTAACTTTTCTCAAAAATCTTTCCTTCTCTAAACTTATCAAAATGATCTTAAATGATTTCCAACATCTTCATGTAAACCATCATCAATCACCGTCGTCAAATCGTACATGAAAAAACTGCTTCTATAGTAATTTTCTCTTTAATTTTTATGTATACCAACCCCTTTTATAACGCTAAAGAAAGAGAAAGAGTTGGGGTGCTTTAGTTTTAACAAAAATTATCGCACTTCTATTGAGAGAAATTTAAAATACAAAAAAGTTATCCAAAAATTGATAATGGATACACACACTTCATAAAAATAATCGTTTAAATTCAAAATCTCTATAGAGAACCATACCACCTTTTTACCAATGAATCCACTTAATAAGTTCACAAGTAGAATCGAATATGAAGGCACACATAGCCGAAGGGTCATAATAATATGTTAATACATTTGTATGATTTCCTAATCAGAGCGATGAAGATTGAATGACTTGCTCAGTTTGGTGGGCCGTCATCAACCCTAATTTACATTATTGTCCTTCCCATTAGGGGTGTGCATTATCGGATATCGAATATTATCTGATCCGAATTTTTTGATATCCGAAAATTTCGGATACCTAAAATAATGATCCGTATCTGAACAAAAAAAATCGGATATCTGAAATTTCGGATCGGATATCCAAATATCCATATCCGAATCAGATTTTTTTTTGCAAAAGATTCAAAAAAAATTAACAGAAATTAAAATATTCATATTTACATATCCTACCAACATCACCGTCCGCTAGAAGTAGGAGGAACAGTTTGGGGGATTTCAAATCGGTGTCATCTTGCAATAGATGCAAGCCGGCTGTCATTACATCTGAATCCGAAAATGTGGTTAGGACTGTCAAGAATTCGGATACGGTTGCGCACTATCGGATTCTCATTCATCTGTTCAAATCACAGCCAAGGAAACGAGGGATAATTTCACGGTTATTCCCGAGGTTAAAGAAGAAACAGAAGAATGAGAATTCACTGAACCAAACAGAATCCAAGGAGATTGCGCAAGTACTAAAGGACTCTGGCATGTTGTCGATCAAAGCGCTGAAGAAAGAGTTGATAGAAGCACATGAGAATCGAGATGCGGCCCTAATGGAAGTTGCCGAGATGAGATCCTCACTAGGAGAGCTCAACTGCTCAAGCAGAAGCTGGAGCATTTAGAAAGCTACTGCGAAGATCTCAGGAAGGCCTTGAGGCAAGCAACGCAAACAAAGGATTCTCAAATCAATGAAAAGCTAGGAGATTGTCCAAGGAAGGGGAAAGCCATTGATGTTAATTAACAAAGCTTGATGCCTGTCAGCGATAAGGTAATGACAGGGTTTCTTGCAGATTGTATGGGAAGCAAGATTATCGGGTTTTCGGATAATCCAAATATGATTTTTTATCGATCCGTATTTGATCCGATAATCCGAAAAAAATTTCGGATATTCGATCCGAATTATCCGAAAATTGAAAAATAGATCTAATATCCGAATTTTTAGATCGAATCAACGGATCTGATTTTTTTGCACACCCCTACTTCCCACAACTGTCACTCTCTCTCTCTCTCTCTATATATATATAGGTATTTGATTTAACAATAATAATAATCTAGTAAACAACGCCACTCATAATGGTCTTGAAATTATTGGTAAAGTCAAGGGCCAAAATAGGGATATACAAACAGTAGTGTGCATGGGGAAGACTGAATGAGTGGTCTTTTAAGGTATAATCTACGTTTGTAGACAGTAGTAGGGTTACGTAAAAAAATGATTTAATCATAATATTTAAATGATTTATGATTCAACTATATACTGTGTAGAGATAAAGAAAAGTAGAGCCTTGTCTTTATTAGACAAATTTAATGTGAGAAAGAACTTGAAATTCTCGCTGTACAATATAAAATATACAGAGTATACCCCCCTTATAAATTCCTTATCACTAACCCCAAACAGAACCTCACAGTTCTTCTCCACTCTCCACTCTCCACTCTGTTCCTTCCTTACTGCAATTTTTTTCTTCAATTGTTGTTTTTTTTTCGTTTTATCTTTGTGTTGCTGCAAGTGAAGCTAAGGTAGAAAACTATAATGACAAAGAAGCCGAGGATTGTGATAGTTGGAGCTGGGATGGCTGGTCTTGCTGCAGCTAACAAGCTCTATACTTCCACTAGCTCCAACGATTTGTTTGAGCTAGTTGTTGTCAAGGTGGCGATAAAATTGGTGGCAGGATAAACACTTCAGAGTTTTGTGGTGACAGGATTGAGATGGGTGCTACTTGGATCCCTGGAATAAAGGATAGCCCGATTCACCAAAATTGCTCGGAAAATCCATGCACTTGAGTCTGACCAGCCATGGGAGTTCATGGATGGGTTCTCGGATGAGCCTAAAGACTGTTGCCGAAGGCGGGTTCGAGCTGAATGCCTCCTTCATTGACCCTGTATCCACACTTTTCAAGAACCTCGTAGATTTCGCTCAAGGGAAGATGGTTCAAGTAGCCCGTGGAGAGGATGCTAGTTACTATAATTTTGCTGCTAAAGCAGCCCTGAATGCAACGGTGGGTTTGGCAACCAAAGTGTCGGTGCGTTCCTTAGACAAGGCCTCGATGCTTATTGGGATCCTTGCAAGTACCGTGACGAGCTCAGTGGATATGGTAAATGGAGCAGGACATTGCTTGAAGAATCCATTTTTGCCATGCATGAAAACACCCAGAGGACTTATACTTCTGCCGGTGATCTGTTCAATCTAGATTTC